ACGAGTAATGCGTGGACGGAGGATATATGTTAATGAACGTTTTGTGTGGATGAGTAATATGTGGATAAGTGATACGCGGACAGAGGATACATGCACAAATGATATATGGATATATAGTGTGTGGATAGGTGATATATGGACGCGATGTTGGAATGGTGTCTATGTGAACTGATGGTGTGTGGAAAGTGTTATGGATCGATCCATTAGCCGTGGACGGTTCACTTGTACTCACCAAGCAAGACATCACCACAAGCTCCCACTAGTTCCCTAAGACCATGTCCACGCGAAACAATACGACTCAATCCATCCCCATCATCCATCCAAACTTCAACCAAGCAAAACATTCTAAGGTTGTATACATCCATAGAATGAAAAAAATATGTATTTTAGCAAACTAAATATGCTAATGATCGATATTTTACTATCTTAATAAGTTTAAGTATCTATTTAGTGTATTTAGATCATTTTAGGATTCATTTAAGGGGATTGTATACATTTATTTGTTAATTGTATTTGACATGGTCTATAATTCACAATTAAAAGTTGGTGGCTACATTGAGAGGATTGTTCTGCAATATTTTGAGAATTTTGGGGTAAACACGTGAATAACCAAAAGATGAGGGACTACATTTGAAAAAAGAAACTTCACCATTGTTGCTCCCTCTCCAGCTTCTCCGTCGGTCCAAGACGCCTCAAAGCGAACCACACCAAACACCCTTCGTAACCTTGCTCAAACCGCTACCAAACACCAAGTCAAGTCAGACAACGAGTTAGGGGAATCAATCGACCACGAAACCCACGGGATGAGGCAGAGCGAACACATCTCCATCACTTGTTACAGGTCCAAAGTACAGATCTAAATGGGAAAGAGGATCTGAACCAACAAATCCTTAAACTCCGACTCCTTTCCAAAAAACATTGTTGAAAAATTGTTATATCCAATTATCCATAGTACGGTCAAGGCCCATGGATGCTCTGATGCTCCGATTATAATCATCACCATCAACATCCCCGTTAGCACCTTCCTTCCCCTCTAACAGCTTCCGAACAGTGCTCGAGATCCTCTGATCTCAGAATCTCGTCAAACGAACGATGACGCAAGATCGATGAGCCTCGTCAAAGTCACCATCGGCACCACTTCCACTTCTTTATACATCCCCCGCCACTCCCATTTCCAAAGCTCTCCTCTTAGCCTCAAACCCACTCTCAGTCACTCTCTCAGCTAAGCACTCTACCACATCCACCATCAGGGCAACATCAAAACCAATTTGATCCTAATCTCAACGATTGCTACACACCAAAAGAAATCATATTTATCTCTCATCTTATAACAACCTTCTCTTCTTTTCTCGTTGCTCTGTAGCCTAATTATCCAAAATCAGATTTTTCTAATTGTCTTTTTTTTTATATGAATTTCGTTTCTGGGTTTTAAAAAAGTTCACACTTTTTTTAGTTCTTGTTATGTGAAGCGAGATTGTTTGATAGAGGAGATAAAATTGAAAAGACATAAGATAGTTTAGCTTGAGACATTTCAACAAAAACATAAAGAACGTAAATGTTTTGTTATCTAAGATAAAGGGTATAAGAGACATAGCACATGTGAAATGTGTGTCTCAGGCATGAAATGCCTTTAAATGTAATTGGAAAGTGAAAATGTGCCTTGAGATGTAAAAAATTCAAGCTACTAGCTAGTCTGAACTAAATGTTGGAATTCAGGTTTGGACATATGATTTTACGACTTTTCCGGTGGCTTTTCCGGTCAAACCAGTGGTCGTTATAAATATGTCATCACACTAAGTCATGTTCAATGGCTTGCCAGAGGGCAAGGCTTCCTCCACACATAAGTCGCTGCTGTCCGGTCTCGCACGCGGTTTGTCAGAAGCCATAGACCCAATAAGGTTCTTTTTTGGACCAAATTATTTTATTTTTTTTGGCTCATTTTTGAACCAAAAATAATAAGATGTTTGTGTCTATGTTTCAAAAAGACACGCTTTTCATCTGTTCACCCAAGATATTTTTTTTGCTTAAACAAGAAGAGAGAATTTTAGAGAGAAAATTTGTAATCTCAACGTCTTGAATTTTCGCCTATGTATAGTTGTTACGGGAAGTGGCTCACCTCATTCTCTTTAAATAAACTCAACTCTCCTCATTCATTCTTCAATTTTCTAATCAAAATCCAATAGAGAAAATCCTAAAGCATAAGTCTATTAGGTCGAGAGTGTTCGTAGATTTTGTAGTTCTTTGAGGTGTTCATGAGTGAAACGTAATTCGTCTGCTATACTTTTGTCTTGGATTTCCCTATTTGCTATTCACCGTCTCACTATAGAGCAAAAATAAATAGTTAAGGAATGAGAAGATTTCTCAACTCCTTGTGTTGTTTACTAAAACGTTAGAGGTGCTTGTTGTATAGTTTTCTGCATGATTATGTGAAGCTGCTTGAGTTTGATTATCGAAGAAAAATCACATTATTTACGTGGAATAATTTTTTCTTTCTAAGTATCCAAGAACAAATTTGTTTTTATTAAGTTTGAAAAGAATAACCATTGTTTCTCATTCTTAATTTTTATGCTTATCCATATTTTTTCTTTTCATTCTTAGTGTTCATATTATTGGTACCACTTAAATATTTCTTATATATATAAAATGAGTATTATAACATTTTAACTATGACATATGTCATCATTAGAATGCTTTTGAAAGTCACTAGAGATATATGTTGGTCCATTGAATATATACTATAGTTCTTATTAGACTAATCATAAATTTAATTAATAATATACAGTTAGTTTCTTTCACTATGTTCTTAAATAAATACTACAAAATTACTTAATATACATGACACAATTAATTTTACATTTGGAACCACTGATATCCTCTGGAATCCCTTAGTAAGTTCCCATCCCTTCTTCATTTTGGATCCCAAGAGTATCTTTGATTTCTTTCCTGACCTCTTGTCCGATTCTCTTACCAAAGAGTAGAGATGACTTGTCAAAATTAATGGATGGATGGGCAGGTGGTTATCAAAAGGTGGAAAGGAAGTAATGATAAAGTCAATCCTGATAGCTCTCCCAACCTATGTAATGTCTTGCTTTTCTACTCCCATTGGAGATATGTGATGCCTTGGCTAGTGCCATTGCACAGTTCAGGTGGAGCTCGAATTCACCAAAAAGAGGCTTACACTGGTCAACATGGGACAAGTTATGCTTATCTAAAGAGGAAAGGGGAATTGGCTTCAGGATGATCCATGAGTTTAACCTGGCGTTGTTAGCTAAGCAGTTGTGGAGATTGGCTCAATACCCAGATTCCCTGGTAGCTCGAGTTATGAGACGTCGGTATTATCGGTTGAGTTCGCCATTGCGAAAGCTCACTGTCAGTAGTCCATCGTATGTGTGGACAAGCATATCGGCGGCACAAGAATTATTGTTTCTGGGGGTTAGACATAAAATACGTTCAGGCTATGATGTGAAAGTGTGGGAGGACCCTTGGATTCCCACAATCCCAGCGAGGCCAACGTCTTCATCTGCTCCAGTGTTGTATCCGAACATGAGAGTGAGTGATCTTATTAATCAAGAAACAAAGTCTTGGGACATGGATTGGTTGGCGAATTATGTTGAGGCTGCTGATATACCTCTCATAAGAAGTATGGCTATTAGCCCAACACATCGTAGAGATACGCATTGATGGAGTTACACAAGGAGTGGACAGTACACAGTCAAGTTTGGCTATTGGGTTGCTAGAAA